ATTGAAAACTCCAATGAGATACACAATGCGTCAAAATAATTTTCTATTTTTAATTTATAACTAATTAATTTATTTAACGAATTCTCAAGAAACGAAAACCCTTCTTACAATTATATCTTTCAAATACTAAAGGCCTTAAGGCTCTCTCAATCAGCGGAAGTTGAATTTCCGCACGTCTGCCTGCGTTCAAACGGACGGAGAAAAAAAAGGGGAAAAAAAATTTACGAGGAAAATCTAACTTAAAGCTTTTTGTCTTCAAGCGACGTGGCTAACGACTCCAGAGGGGCAAAAATTACTCCAGTCTCTTTCTATATATATATATATATATATATATATATATATATATAGAGAGAGAGAGAGAGAGAGAGAGAAAATAATATAAACTTATACTTTCATGCAAATCGCACGTTCTCGGTGTTTCTTGTCTAATTCTCTAGTGCGAGCAAGAAAAAATAAAAAACGGATTTAAAAATATCTCTTATTGTAGATTATTATTTCGATTATTTTAGATTTCAATTATTTTAGATTTATTAATTATATACCTTTAAAAAAAAATCTATAAAAAGGGAAATGAATTATTCTCTTGATATTAGAATCAATTTTCTAACTGCCAAAGATATTTTTCACGAAATTCATATAATCTATGAGAGCATTTATAATTCTTCCTTTAACTTTTATTGTGTTCAATGGCGTAAAGCAAGTCACATTTATTTTGCTTTTGCGATTTGCCCTTGCAATTCTCAGTGACCACACAGCGCCATTCAAAAGACAAATTAGGTACATATATTGTGTTGGTTATAATTTAACTAACCGACAAAAATTTACTTACTTCCTTTAAGAGCTTTTATTAATTACTTTTATAATTAAAATTCACTAACTTTCAACTATATTCCGTGACTTATGATTATAAAATTATACTATTATTTTAGTAACTAGTTTTTTTTTGATTAAAAGGAGAGAAAACTTTTTTTTTATTTAAAAAAATCATTACAGTTCAAAAAAAGAAAAACTATTTTTTTAATCTTCCTTTTCTATTGGATTTACAAAGTTTATTACCTTTTACCAATATAGAATTTTAAACTCTCACGTTTATTATTTTATCAAAGCTAAAAACGTTTCGATATTTAAACTTTTTTTTATGCTTTTAACTTTTTCAAAATGAAAAAAGGCAGAAAAATAGAGCATGCATCAAAGAAAATAAAAGTTATTTTGATATATAGTCAAAGTAACGTTTTGTACAATGAAAAGACAATATTCTAATGTTAAGAGATAAAAGAAGTAAAAGGTGGTGAAAAAATATATATATAAATGATCATAGAAGCGAATATATATAGGGGTGATGGTCACTGGGAAAATAGAAGGCTTGATGTTTATAGAATGTTCGCCAGTCTGTAATGTTCTGGTCGATTAGGTAAATTGACAGAGGATCGAAAACATGTTGTAACAATGAAAAGTTTGCTCGTTGTTGGTTTAGAAACGACGCTAAAAATTTTATGCGCGAATATCCCTGGATGCTTCTACTACTACTACTACAACCGGGATAATCCTTAATCCCTTGATGGAGCGTTCTACATTCTCGGGTGCAGAATTCGCGAGCGAGCAATGTCATGAAATATGATGAAATTAATATTTTCCCCGAGTGTTATAACAGACGACACACACACACATATATATATATATACTCAAGTTTTATTCTTATTTGTCACTCTCTGTTTTTGCAATTACTTAGTTAAAAATTGATATATACATGTCTCTATAAAAAACTGACAACACTATATCTGCCATGTTACATATTTTAATTGCATTTAAATTGCAGCGAGAAACTCTCTATCATTTACTTTTTCATGTTAATAAAAACCTAATTAAAACAGGTGTAAAAAGCTAGTCTATTAATTTTTATTATTGTTTTTTAAAAAAAATAAAAACACACAACAATTCTAAAATAAAAACAAGTTTGGAATATTCATTACTATAATTAAAGGCGTATAAAACATTTTTATATTAAAGAGAAACAATAAAAAAAAAAAAAAATTTGTAAAACTTTTCTCTACTAATGAGAGAAATAATGCTCTAACAAAAAGCCAATTATATTAAAGTTTTTTGCTTTAATTTTTTTTCGTTAGTCTGTTTATGCTTTTTGACGCATCAAAATTTGTTATTTATTAAGTAAATTAAAGAAAATGTTTTTAATTTTTTGTTAGTATTTTTCATTTTTTTTATTGAATTTTTTTTCACAAACAAATTTCAAACTTCAAATTATAGAAAAATGAATGTACGGAGAATGAAGAATATTTTAAAATACAACATTTGAAGCAAATTATATTCTTGTCACTCAAAAAAAAAGAAAAAAAAGAAAACGAGAAATATATCACACGATGTGGTAAAAATGAGAAGATTTTATCTCCCGACAACGTAAAGTACGTGGCACATTGTGAGAAATGATCAGTTTCTTTTTTTTTTTTTTTTTTTTTAAATAATTTTCTTTACTGTCGTTATTTGCAAAGTGCCTTCTATTATTTTTAGAGAAATTTTTTTCTTACGAACTGCAAAGAGATTATAAAAAATACCTTTTTAAAGTTTAACTAGTTTTCAAGTTAAATAACTAAAAAAAAAATTAATATTTAAAAATATTTTTCAAATATGTTTTTTAACAAAAAAATGTTATTAAATATCAATGGACAGCTACAAGCGTTATACGTGAGAGTGATTCTGTCTGACCAAAACATTGTTTCTCTACTGAAAATGTCAAGACAATGAAACATGTGAAAGTGCTTTGACCTGTGTGTATATATGTATTTTGTGTAATTTTAAACACTAAATAATATGTCAACTTTGATTAAAAAAAATTTTTTTACATTTTTTTATCAAGTTCTTCTCTAGATTAAATAACTTTTTTTTTATTTTATTTTAAAATATTTCTCTTTATTTAAAAATATTTCGTTTTTTATCAATTTCCATTTTATAATGTTTTATAAATATTACACACATTACGAAATTAAAGGATAACAAGAAAGATTTACACAAAGATAATCTTATTAATTAATTAGAAAAAACCTTGAAATATTGATTTATCCGAGGATTTATCACAATTTGCAAATATTCGTATTTTTTTTCTCTTCTATTAAATAAATATACTCATTTCACAAAAGTGTTTGTTTTATTTCCTTTATTTTATTTTTCAGTTTAGTTTTACTTGTCAATTTTTCTGATTAAGCTTCGGGATTGTAGAAAAAAAATTGTAATACATTTATTTGTACTCATCCTTCTCTTTTTTTAAATCTTCAATATATATATATATATATATATAGAATGTAGAGTTCGCAATTGACGTACCGATAATTTTTCCCCCAACTAAAAAAATTTGCGATCGAAAAATTTAAATTAATGATGTATAAAATATCTCGTAACTTTAATGTAAGGCACAGGTAGTAGTAGTAGTTTTACCTTCTGGACAGTTTCAAGTGAAAATCGATTAGATGCTTTAGTGAAAAGTCCAGAACAGAGACTCCTGATATTATGTTGAGCCCTCTAACACTGCCCAACAGATCGTTCGATTTTCTCTTTACTCTTCTAACACATTGATTTAGTCGTCAGACAAAAATTTATTATCAGAACAAATTGCCCACAAACTTTCTTACAACGTCAGCAAATTCAACTTCTCTAACCTAGAATGAAATCGGTTTTAAAAACTTTAAACTTGTACTCATGATTCATATTTTAGTTCCACTAGAAATATATATATAATTTCAGCAAGAGAAAAAAATTTTTTAAAAATCTTTTTTCAAAATAAATTGTTTACAATACAGAAGAAGAATATATTATAATTATTATTATTATTTTCTTTTGATGTGGAAAAGAAATTGAACAATTGATGAAAGTAGTTTGATTGTTCCTCAAATTAAAATTGACTTATGAGGTCGTAAACAATCTTTAATCTTGGTCATTTTAACTCTTGAGTGCCAAGAATGCCATATGGCGCCAAGCAAAAAAAAAGAAAAAATACTAGAGACGCCATATGGCTTTGTGGTGAGAAAATGCATTTTTCCGCTGCATGGAATTTGAAACTTGTGTTTTGTAGGTCGATGAATTTAAATGAAGCAACACTTTCAAAATTCATACAATGCAATAACTATAATAACATTGTACATCAAAAATGAATTATTAATCATTTATCACAGAAAACAAAAATCCATTTTCAAATTAAAAAAAAATTTTTAAATCCTTCTTCGTTCTATATATGATTTAAAAATTAGGATTAACAACTATTTTCAGGGATAAACAGAATTAAAAACAAGCAGAGTGCAGACGTATGTAGAAAATGCTTTTTGAGAAAAATCTAAATGTCACGTTGAGAAAAAGAATAAAACGTCAGAGACTTAAATTCCAAGTTTTTTTTTTTTATCACAAAATGCTTTGATGACGTTAAACACTAATATTGACTTAATACTTGCGACTAAAACAGAAAAAACTCAAAAAGGCGAATTCTCCACAAGAACTCGGAAAAGTAATTCACCACGTACATTGAATTTTTAATTACTTTAATTGAATATTAAAATCATTTTTAAAATAAGTTTTAAGATAATTTTTAAAATAATAATTTTTGAAATAATTCATCATTTTTCGAATTGTAATGTGTAACAGAAGTACTATATTGTCATTTTAATATTTGCTATGGAGAGGAGTATCTTTATTTAATCAAATTAATTTGATTATAAAGTTAGTTAAATTAAATTAATTAAAGTAAATTTGTCATTTATTAAATGAATAAATTTACTAAAACTCAGATTAACATTTTGAAACGTAATTCGTTCTTATTACATTGGTATCTATTCTTTCGGAACACGAAGCGCACACTGGGTCTCTGAGACCCTGCGCATTTTTCTCAGCCTCTTTAGTTAAATTATTAAAACATTTACAAAATAATTTTTTTTTGTTTTGGAAAAAGGTTCATATCTGAGTATTTACAATTTATGTTTTAATGCAAAAAGGATTTTTTTTACCTTGTTCTCCGGCAATGACGAGTGTCACGCGACTCGCCAGCTGGAGGAGGAAGGCAAAGGTGAGAGCAATAAATCCCAGATAGTGCCTCATCTCCGAAACGAGGAGGATGGAGGATTCTACGTGCTTTCTGAACGTATCGTCATCCCCATTTGACAAATGTCCTGGAGTTGATTTTCCGTCACAACTGACGTTAAAAAAGTGAATGTCATAAAACTCTCAAATTAGACGTCGATATAGTTTTCAATGCATTTTATCGCATAAAATTACCGCCTTGATTGATAAGGAAAAAAAATAAAATACACCTACACACATCCAGCGACACTAACTGAGACAAGTTTGATTTTAAATTAGAACGCACGAACGCGAACAAGTCTGAATTCTCGCTGAGATTACCAACTAGAGAATTCGTCGTGTCTAGGGAAGTGCACATCACGTATTCGGAACGCGATACGGAAATCGTATACTACTCTCTCGTACCCACTTCCTCCTCAGGCGATTCACTCCACACACCCTTCAGAATATTAATACAGTTCTCTCATTTCAAATTATTCTTATCACTTCTCACTTTTCACTTCCGATTCGCACTTATTTACTTTTAACTTTATCGAAATTCACAATGTTTTCAACTTTTTTCTTTCTCTTAAAAAAGAGCAAAATAAAAAGAATTCTTTCAAATTGTAATTTAACGCCCTTATTACATATCAAGAATAAAGTTTTTTACAAACAATTTGGAATTTAATTTTATACAAACACTTAATGTACATAATTTACAATTTTCCCCAAATGATAAATTACCCATTATCTCAACTATTAACTATAAATCAGTTTCCAAGTTTTTTTCTCCTATAGAGAAAAAAAAACAAATTGAAAACAAAAATCACAGTAAATTTAAAATCCTGTAAATGAAAATCCGCTTATAAAAGTAAGGATAAGTTGCACAAGCGCACGTTCACATTGAAATTTCCAAGGAACACGAGCTTTCCGAGCAGAGAGTTCGCGGCGATATGAAACAAGTTTGTATGCCGAATTTATCCGAGAGTCCGGGATGTAATGTGTTCGGGACCAGTACGAGAGAAGCCGAATGTTTTGCGCGCCTCAATGCGAACCAACGCGCGCGCCCTTCCTCACATTGCACAATTGTCTTCCAGCTTGTCGTTCTGGAGCAGAAACTCAACAGGGGTGCGCGCGCGGAATTTTCCCAGCATCCCATATATATATAGAAAGAGAACTGAGGAATCCCCCTTAGATCGGTTATCATCTCATCATCAAGTACCTTGTCTTTGCGCGCTCCCACGGAAGAAGCGTCTAATCTCAAATATATATAATACGTAAATCTTCATTAAATTGATAATGCCAATTATAAATTCAAAGATAGACGATTGAAAGTATTTTCTTTGAGGAAATCAATCTGGCGATCTAATATGTGCGATTCCATTTTTACAAATTCTTATTTTCAGTCATATTTCCACTTTCACTTCCAAATATAATTCTAACCCCAGTTAGCACGTAAGCTTGCAGCAACCTTGCGGCATGCTTACCGCGCAATATTGCCAACCTTGCACGGCAAACTTGCCGCAGGCTTCAAATGTCCCACCTGACCCAAGCTTGCATGGTAAGCTTACCGAAAGATTGCCGTGTAAGGTTACTGCAAAATTGCACAATAAGATTATCATAAGATTGCTGAGTAAGCTTGCACGTTAAGCTTGTAGCAAGATTGGTGCAAGGTTGCAAATAACTTTGCTTTAAACCTAAAAAATGAGACGACAAAGGAGTCTAGAATAATGAACAAGATCAAAAAATGAATTTTGAGGACATAACTGTCACTATCAGATTATGTTAACAAACTGAAATTTATTTATATTTTTTTTTTACTCTTCATCTCCTTGAAAATTCTATCAAAACACTAAGAATTCTGAAAATATTAAACTGTTCCCTCTCTCTCTCTATATGATAAAATACGTTGTAATAAAAATGAATTACATGTACTATTTTCCATTACTCAACATGAACTCGAGTTCAAGACAAAACTTATTTCCGGTTGTTGGGCAAAAAAAAAAAATTTATTTTTTTTTTTTATTTTTTCCCAACGAATAAGTATCACGCAATCGAGAAATTTAGAACGTAATAAAAAGTAACGTACATTTTGCAAGATGATAATAATTCGAGAATTATAGTGAATAATTATTATCCGGATAAATTTAATATTTTTTTTTTTTTTCAAAAACAAAAAAATACTAAAAAAAATGTGTTCGAATTAAATATTTAAATTAACTACAATAATTTGTTTCCTATGGAAAAAAAGTGATATGTTATATACAAAAGCATAAAAATAATTTTCGCATCACAAAACCTAGAATATCATTTTCTCTTCAGAAGTATGAAAATATAATACCGCAGGAAAAGAACAAATCTGGAAGTATCTCACATTTTTATATGTATTGAATTCCATACAATTGATACCTTTACAGAGAAAGCTATTTTGCACGAAACAAATCTAACCCAAATGGAATTTTATTAAATCCTTGAAATCACTGACAAGTTTTTGTTGTTCTTTCAAATTGTTATATATGAATTTTCCAATATGTTTGTAATTTTTTTTTTTTTTTTTTTTTTCTAAACACATTTTGGGAGAATTCTATTTTAATTGTAAAGTATTGTCCTTGAGTTTTGTCACAATGACAAACATGAACCCCTAACTATTAGCAGAATAGACGTCGATCTGTCGAAGTGAATATAGTCATCCTATCTCGCGCCTTGTCATTGTTCACGAAATCTATGGTCGGTTGGCTATGTCTTTGTACTCAGGATAACCGGAGACCCAACCAACCAACAATGCTCTCCTTTGTACTCACGTGGTCAATTAGTTCATACATTGCACACGCGTTACATTTACCAGGGGACAAACATTCAAAGATTTAAATCTCGCTTCGTTCGTTACATTTTTCTCAATTCAGTGACTTTCTGTCGCTATATGTATACAATCAAATTTTCTCATGCGTTTATATAATTTAAAATAGCATTTCACTTTTTTTAATATAAAAAAATACTTTAAATTACTTTTTATTCTTGCCAAGCATAAGTCAATTGAAAAGTTATAAAGAAGGTGAATTATATATTCAATTATATAGGTTTTATGAAGAAATATTTTTTGATTCATAAATTTTTAACTAACAATATTTAAATGGACTGGGACATAAAAAATTTTTAACTTCAGTAAGCAATATTTTTTCTTCCAATTTCTACAACAGCCATGGGAACATTACATCGCGCTTGTTTCGGCTTTTACTGCCGCAATTTCACCTGCGAAACATATTTCTTGCGCAACAGTTAAAATTGATCAGTAATTCATGAGTTTGTGTGAAATTAAATTACAATTGAAATCGCTTATTGAAATTAGTTTTTACTTTTTGTTCAACGTAACTTATTATTGGCTCACAATTTGATTTATTGTAAAGTTCTTTTTTTTCCAAAACCAAACAATAAAAATAGAATTCCTTTTTTTTATTTTTCATTTAAAAAAAAAAGTAAAGAAAAAATATATTAATATTATATATTACATAAAATATTTAACAAAAGAAAGTAAATTGTGGAAAATTAAGAAAAATTTCTCAAGGGTATAATTCATTTTTTTTTCTTTTTAAGTTATTTCTTTTATCTAAACATCAGATGACATATATAGTTAGAAATATTTGCACAAATTTCATAATTTTAATTAAAAATTAAATTTAATTAAGTAATTTTCAACTTTCGGCTAATTGAGCGGAAAGACTCGAAATGACTCTTGTTAATTGGAAGAAATTCATTAATACTACATTGGCGGGGAAAATTGATTTGAAAGGCAATTTCTACTCATTACACATTGAGAGCACAGGTGGTAACAAATTGGAATGAGTGGTCAAGCTCCCCCGAAATATCCTAATTTGTTATTGCAATTACAAAATTATCTTTGCACAGACTGCTACTTTAATATAAGCGCAAGTAAAAGTTGCTTTCACTGAAATTGCACGGGCAAGATATTTCTCACTCTCCGACTTGAGGAAGAATATAATAATATCTTAATATATATATTTTTTTTTTATAAAATGAGATATGCTTGACATAAAAATATGTTTTACGATAGCAAAGAAATTTTCACAATGTGTCAACGTTACTAAAAGCGCAAAAATTTACTGATTTTTCAAAAGAAAGTATATTCAATAGTTGTAACACATTTTTATAAAGAAACCACTTTTTTATTAATGAGACGTAACGTAACGTAACGTAACGTAACGTAACGTAACGTAATGAAATATTGAATATTTAAATATTAAAGGAAAAGAATTTTCAAATTAAATATCGTGGTCAATTCTATCATAAAGAATTCACATATATGAGATGTTACTACATTTCTTATACATTCTGTCAGAAATTATTCTAAAATATAGAAGATATTTGCGTTTTTAATTAAAAATATAATTAAATTTAAAATTACTTTAATCTCTTCAATATTCTTTTATAAATCTAATTTTATAATATCACACGAAGTATTGATTTTAAATATTTATAAATATGCAAAAATGTGTTCTATATAAAAGTCTTTGCATTTTTTTAAAGAATTTAAAAAAAAAACTCTTTTCGTATCTTAATTAATTTGCTGGTTAATGATAGCTGACTTTTCAGCTACTCTAAGATAAACTTTACTCTGAATTGTAGGAGTAACATCAAGTATTACAGTGAGAGTTACCTGCTTGTTTTCCCTTTTCCCCACACAAGGTCCTTTATCTAAACTTTGTTTACCATTTAACAAGAGGCTGAACTGATTTATGCTGGTTCAATGCCAGAGGGCTTACAACCACCAGTTTATATTGACATTTTCTTGATTGCTTTGTTTGTAAAACTAGACCAAGTTTTTGGTGATAATTATTTTTTTTTTTTTGAAAGATATATAAAATATTTTAATATTCTATTAAGTTACTATATTTTTCGAACGATATTTTACGACAGGGATAGAAAAACTTAATTTTTTCCCTAGGGAAAAAAATGCGTTATTTTTACCCTTGGAGAAAAATGCCATTTTTATACGAATAAATGAATGGCGCTATCTGAAAGCTCCATTTTTGTGCCTGTGGGATAAAAAAAACTATTCTGGTTCAGATTCAATGAAAGTAAACACATACTCTGTCAGGCTGTCGCATTAGTTTCCACATATAAAGGAAATGAGTAAAGCTTTAGATTCATATAGAACAATAAACTCATCATTTCCAGTTCAGTGGCTAACCAATGGCGTCTACTTCTACAATAACTGAAAAGCTTTACTATTTTATCCAGATAAAATATACAATTTATGTGAACTAATAAAAAAAATTACAACTTGCTTTCAAATAAATAAACAGAAAATTTTTAAATAAATTTTCTTCACAATAATATTGATAACGAATATTAATTAAAAATGATTTTTAATAATATTCGCTTGAAATCTTATTGGAGATCGAAAATAAATTGTGCACACGAAAGTTTTATCCTTGAACAATTTCTGCAAATCGTTAACCGCCGTTACAGTCATAGTACCTTAATGGGTGTAATCATGGTTCGTGTGGAGCCGCACTGATTACAAGAATCGTATTTCGCTCGAAAAGTTCATTAAAGGTAGCGAAGCTTTTCTGAAACATTCTCGAAGGTGTGTTGAAAGGAGGCCAAAGAGACTTCAATGAATCCTTTTATTGTAAATTTATTTCGAAAAACCTTTGACATTATCAGACAAAAGGTGGAAGCAGAACAGTGAGAAACTTTGTGAAACAAACTTGGTTAGGAGAGTCAATGTGCGCGCATATAACAAGCAAAATGTTCTTTATCAGCAATTTGTCATTCTTCCAATTCTTTTTTTTTAAACTTTTCCTATTTTATTTGTTATTCTTGTAATTTTCTTTCCCTCATCTCCAATATTGAGAAATTAATTTAATTCAAGATTCTAATGGATTTTACACTATGATGTTGATTGCTAAAGTAAGATTGTTTTAAAATCTATATATAGATCAAAGATTTTCTACACTAACATTTGTAAATTATTCTAATGCAATAAAACTCCATTAAATCAATTGAATATAGATTTTTTCAACAGAAGAATACCACTTTTAATATCGTATAATTTTATGTTCTCTCGAATCTA